AAAACCAAAAAACTGTGAATTAATACAATTTCAAAAGAGTAAACACTGAATAATTTGGTTACCAAAAGGAACTTAAGAGTGTACTTCAAAAAGAAAGGGGTGTGTGTGTGTGCGTGTAAGCTGAAAAATGATAGAGTAAGAGATATGATTTGGGAGTATCAAATCCTGGTGGGCATTGAACTCAAGAAACTATGTAGGCCAGGTGCAGTGGCTAACACCCGTAATCTCAGCACTTTGGGAGACCAAGGTAGGCAGATCGCTTGAGTCCAGGAGTTTGAGACCAGCCTGGACAAAATGGCGAAACCTTGTCTCTACAAAAAATACAAAAATTAGCCAGATGTGATGGCATGTTCCTGCTGTCCCAGCTACTTGGAAGGTTGAGATGGGAGGATCAGCTGATCCGGGGGAGGTCGAAGCTACAGTGAGCTGAGATCACACCACTGCCCTCCAGCCTGGGTGACAAAGTGAGACCCTGTCTCAAAAATAAAAATAAATAAAAGAAAAAGAAGGTGACATGAAGAAACTAAGAAGAATGAAGAAGACTGCATCAGTGGATTAGATGTAGAAGACTGACTATGCTGTCATAAATTTATATTAAAATCATTAAATAATAATTAGTACAACTTAACGCACATTGATTTGGAAAGAAAAATGATATGGAATTTTTCTGGCGAAAAACATATATAGTTCTTCCCAATATAGACCCCTGTTTATAAGTCTAAACAGAATAATATCCACAGGAGTAGAGAAGTTTATAAAAGAAGTGCTCACAAATAAAGTTCCGGGATCAAGTAGTTTAACAGGGAGATTCTACAGTCTTTTCAAATAACACATAAATCAATGCTTCTAACTCAATTTAAGAATATTGCAATGGAAGTATTACCTCCAAATAGGTTATGAAGATCAAACGGAACATTGGTACCCTAAATTTCCAAATGTTGTACAAAATAGAATAATACAGAAAAATCTCATTTCTGCCTACACACAGATATATGTAAGATAAAATACTAGCACATTCTAATTTATTATTAAAAACAACATATGACAAAATGCAATTTATACCTAGAATTCTAGAGTGATTAAATATTTGGAAGTCAACTGATAAAGTTCATCATTTTTATAGAGATAAATAGAACAGTTCCTTGATCATGTCTGCATATGCAAAAATGTCTAGCAGAATTTAGCATGTGTTGCTGTTAATTTAAAACCATCTACAATAGTAATTGATGGATTTTTTTTTTCAAAGATAGCAAAGTCTTTTTCATACTCATGGAAAACATACTACAGGCTACTTATTTTTAAGCTAACGTCAACATTGTATTTGATTTATCATTTTTTAAAGCTAGGAACAATTTTGCAAAGTGTATATGAAAGAGCAAACATATAAGAATAGCCAAAACGAAACACAGTGAAGGTTTCTGGTTCTGTAAAACATTAAAATACATTATGATCTTAAAGCAGTGCGATGTTGTGCCAAAACTAGGTGAACAGACCAGGGCAGTAGAAAAATCAGAAATATACCAAAATGCATAAGAGATATTATACAATAAAATCCACAGAGCCTTTATTAATACTTTGTGTTTGGCAACCGAACATGCCCATAAAAAGATGAAAATTAATTCACTCTTCACAAGCTATAGTAAGATAAGGAATAAATGAAAGAAAAATCTAAATGATAAAAAAAAAAAATGGGCCCAGCCCAGTGGCTCACACCTGTAATCTCAGCACTTTGGGAGGCTGAGGCGGGAGTATCACGAGGTCAGGAGATCAAGACCATCCTGGCTAACACGGTGAAACCCCGTCTCTACTAAAAATACAAAAAACTATCTGGGCGTGGTGGCAGGCGGCCTGTAGTGCCAGTGTCTCTGGAATTGGTGGGTTCTTGGTCTCACTGACTTCAAGAATGAAGCTGCAAACCCTCCCGGTGAGTGTTACAGTTCTTAAAGATGGTGTGTCCAGGGTTTGTTCCTTCTGATGTTCGGACATGTCCAGAGTTTCTTCCTTCTGGTGGCTTCGTGGTTTGGCTGACTTCAGGAGTGAAGCTGCAAACCTTCACGGTGAGTGTTACAGCTCATAAAGGCAGCGGGGACCCAAAGAGTGAGCAGCTGCAAGATTTATTATGAAGAGCAAAGGAACAGAAAGAACAAACATTCCTCTGGGTGGAAGGGGACCCCAGCGGGTTGTCCCAGCTGGCTCGGGCACCCTGCTTTTATTCCTTTATTTGGCCCCACCCACATCCTGCTGATTGGTTCCTTTTACAGAGAGCTGATTGGTCCATTTTACAGAGTGCTGATAGGTCCATTTTAAAGAGCGCTGATTGGTGCATTTACAATCCTTTAGCTAGACACAAAAGTTCTCCAAGTCCCCACCTGACCCAGAAACCCAGACAGCTTCACCTCTCACTAGCTCTTTGGGAGGCTTAGGCAGGAGAATGGCGTGATTCCGGGAGGCGGAGCTTACAGTGAGCTGAGATCCACGCCACCGCACTCCAGCCTGGGCGACAGAGGGAGACTCCGTCTCAAAAAAAAAAACAAAAAAGAAAACATAAAAACAGAAGAAAACATTGATAAATACTTCTACAAGCTGTGAGGATAAATCGGGCTTATGACTCAAACCAAGAAATATTAATTTAAAAAATTGATAAAGATACAACATAAAACCAGAATATTGTGCGTGTTAGGAAACGCCATAAGCCAAGTAACAAGGAAAATGCCAAATGGGCATCTCTTTGCAACTTATATAACAGAAAAAGGGAAGCACACAATTTCCGTCTGCTCCAGAAAATAAGAAAGCTCTCAAAACATACCATACAAGGACAAAGGAGGCAACGTATAGAGTCCCTCACTTAAGATGGGACAATTTGGTCGGGCGCGGTGGCTCACGCCTATAATCCCAGAACTTTGGGAGGCCAAGGTGGGTGGATCACCTGAGGTCAGGAGTTCCAGACCAGCCTGGCCAACATGGTGAAACCCTGTCTCTACTAAAAATACAAATTTAGCCAGGCGTCGTGGTGGGTGCCTGTAATCCCAGCTACTCAGGAGGCTGAGGCACGAGAATCGCTTGAATCCGGGGGGCAGAGGTTGCAGTGAGCCGAGATCGCACCACTGCACTCCAGCCTGGGCAACAGAGTGAGATTCAGTCTCAAAAAAAAAAAAAAGGGAGGGGGGATAATTTGAGCTCAAAAAAATAGATATAGACTGCAGTGTATGGAATCTCATTAAATACACAAAAAATAAGGTTAGAAAAAATATCGCTCACATTTTTTTTGTTTGCTGAGGTCACACCGTCATTATTATGACGACTGATAAAAGGGAGAATCAAGCTTTTAGTCTTCCTTTCCTAATAGACTAGTTTTTAATGTAATGGAGAGAGTTCATGAGGAAACGCAATTTTTAATAGAAAAATGAGAATTAATACCTGTAGAGAAAATAACTAGAAAACCACTATTTGGCAACTCTCCCTGAGATAAGTGAAATTAAGAAATACTAATCAATAAATAATGAACAGTTATATGAAAGGAACAGGCAGACATTCCTGGACCCATCGAACAACCTTAAAATAAAGTGGTAAAACCAGACACGTGTATCCAAATGTGCAGTCTGAATTGAAGCATGCCGGAAGCTTAATACAGAGAGTGATTCTGAAAGATTTAGCACCCACCCAAATTAACTTCATTAATAACATTATAAGGCCGGGCGCGGTGGCTCAAGCCTGTAATCCTAGCACTTTGGGAGGCCGAGACAGGCAGATCACGAGGTCAGGAGATCGAGACCATCCTGGCTAACACGGTGAAACCCTGTCTCTACTAAAAAATACAAAAAACTAGCCGGGCGAAGTGGCGGGCGCCTGTAGTCCCAGCTACTTGGGAGGCTGAGGCAGGAGAATGGCGGGAACCCGGGAGGCGGAGCTTGCCGTGAGCTGAGATCCGGCCACTGCACTCCAGCCTGGGCGACAGAGCGAGACTCCGTCTCAAAAAAAATAAAATAAAATAATAATAATAATAATATTATATCGATTGTAAGGTCCTCTGAGCAGGCTGCGCCATGGTCAAGCCATGTATACATGACCCACATGTATACACCCAGAAGGTCTCCTGGAGCCAGAAAGTCTGGGACAACAGGAAAACCACAAAGGAAGAAAAAGGGCTAGTTTCTGTCTTAACTGATTAGCCAACCTCGCAGCATTCTACCATTGTGACGTGCACTACCCTAACTGATCAGCCTAGTGACACTGTGACCCCTCCCTCTTGTGACAATGTACCTTGTGACATTCTTCCCCTGCCCGCAATAAACGGCCCCTAACTGTAACTTTCCATTGCTGACCCCTCACCTATAAAACTAACTCCAATCCCACGACCCTCCGCTGACCCTCTTTTCGGACTCAGCCCGCTCGCACCCGAGTGAATAAACTAGCCTTGTTGCTCACACTTAACCTGTTTGGGTAGTCTCTTCAATTAGGCGCGAGCTTAACATCGATCATAGATTGAAACAATATTTTTTGCTATATTTGGTTAAATAAATCATTGTAATCAATTTCACGTATTTTTTTCTTTTCTATTGCTACTAGAACACACGTGGCTCACATTTTATTTCTATTGGGCATTGCTACCTGAGAGGACGTTCTCTTTTCAAAATTCAGGCTGCCTCTAATCCCACTAGAAACAAGAAAAAAAAAATTCAGGCTGCCTCCTCAAAAGATTAGAGGTCAGGAAGGCTGTGAAATCTGAAATTTTAGAATAATTGTCATCATAGTGTTTCCAATCATAAATATCACAACTACTACTCATAAATGGACCTAACCTTGTGTACAAGGTTGAATGGGAAAGTCCCTCAGGGGGCGCCAGGTCTCAGCACTGGGCAGAATCCACGCCTTGGAAAAGGACCGCACGGAAAGAACCGGCCTCACTCCGCGCTTTGTCTGATGGCAGCTCCGGTCACTCAGGGCTGAAGGGGCGGGGCCTAAAGCCCTGTCCAATCGGGCGCTGGGAAGGTGACCGTTCTCTCAAGCGCGCGGCGAAAGGAGGGGGCAACTTCCGGGCCCTGGCGGGGCTTTTGTGTTGGGCAGCGAGACCCTGGCGAGCTCGGTGTGTCTCCGCCGCTCCTTCCCCTTATCCCTGGGAGGTCCAAGTGGTTCCGCGGCAGCCTCTGTGGCTCTGGGACCTGCAGGTCCTGGAAGGTCCTTAGGGAAGACCCGAGACACCGGAGAGTGGGAAATGGTGAGTGTCCCCGCCAGTGTCTCGAGGGGGGAAGCGGGAACCGGCAGGAAGCGCTGTGGCGAACCCGGACCTCCCCGCGGTGCCGACCCGAGTTTCCGCTGTCGCCTCGCGGCCTTAGTGGCACAGGATGGGGGGCTGGACCCGCAGCCGGACCCCGGGCCGCCTGGCTTGTCCCTGCCCCGCCGCCTCGGCCAGCCCCGGAACCTCTCTGGGCACCTCTGCGCCTGCAGACCCGCGTCTCCCTCGGAGCGTGCGGAGCCGACGGGAGGGTCCTCAGGGGAGAGTCCCGACTTGGGGTTCGGGGTTCCTGCGTGGGAGGAGCTGTGGTCGGTGAAGTCTCCAAAACCTCCTTTATCCTGTTAGAAATAAAACTGAGGCGCCGTTAAGATATTAAAGAGTTTATTTGAGCAGAGAGTCGTGAGTTAGGAAGCCGCCCAGCGTGGTTTGTGGTTTGGGGAAGGAAGGGCTTTTGTAAGGAACCCAGAAGCAAACCCAATTAAACGGTTGATTGTGCACAGTTGTGTAGTCACCCCACATAGACTGTGCGCCAGGTATCTCCTGGTTATGTCATCAGAGGTTAATTGGTGGGTTCGTGGTTGCTTAAGGCTGTTTTGTTTGCCTTTAAGTTATTAATTTACAAGACAAGCATGAGTTAGTTTTGGTTGGTTGCTCATTCATGTGTGTATGTACATATATATGATGGAGTCTCAGACTCGGGCTGAAGCGATCCTCCCACCTCAGTCTCCCTGGTACCTGTGTTTAATTATTTTAACATAAACTCCACATTTCTAAGTGTATGGCAAGCAGGATCTCACATCAGCGACCGTGTTTCCACAGCCTAACTCTTCTGGGGCTTGTAGTAAAATCCTAAATTTCCAATTCTCTTCCTACATTCAAATGCAACATTATCAAGTATTTGTCTTTTATTGTGCGTTTCAGACAGATGCAGTGTTTTTTGTTTTTTTTTCAGAGTAGTGAGTCGTTTTGAAAATATTTGTTTTCACTCGTAAAATATTTCTGAACGTTACATATGAGTGGAAAGCAGTAATAATCACCTGACAATTGTTTAAAAAAAAAAAAAGTATTTGTGCATCTCCTAGTTTTATCTTTTTTGAGTGTGCACATCTTACCAGATTGTCTTTGGGGTGAAGTTCCCCTTTGGAAACGTTAGAGGGTGATATGTCCTCAGGCACCCTCATATCTTTTCTTGGTCCTCTGTTTAGCGGCCAGATCTCTTGGAGTGTCTAATGAATACCTTCTCCTGGGTCATCTCCTCCCAGAGGACAGTTTAAAATATGGGAGTAGAGCCTCTCCAGGCAGCATCTGGGTGCCCTGGAGCTGAGAGACGTCTCCTAGTATACTCTTCGTTTAAAACACAAGTCCCTGGTGCATTAGGATTTTCTTCCTCCAACCCCAGTTTTCATCGTTCCTTGGAGACATGTTGTTAGGCAGCCAATCAGACGCTGGTATTAAGGGAAAAAGCTAGAAATGATTCCTGCCCTCTGGATTTTCTTGGACTTGGAAAAGGAGAAAAACTATCTCAAAGGACAAGGAATACTCCCCTCCCCCAGTGAGGTAGTGCAAGAACCAGAAAAGCACCATCATCAGAATTATGTAAGAAGGGAGTTGGCTGGACGTGACCCACGCCTGTAATCTCAGCATTTTGGGAGGCCAAGGGGGGGTGGATCACTTGAGGTCAGGAGTTGGAGACCAGCCTTGCCAGTGTGGCAAAACACTGACTCTACTAAAAATACAAAAATTAGCCCAGTCTAGCAGTGCATGCCTGTAATCCCAGCTACCTGGGATGCTGAGGCAGGAGAATCGCTTGAGGCCAGGAGGTGGAGGTTGCAATGAGCTGAGATGGTGCCACTGCACTCCAGCCTTTGAGACAGAGTGAGACTCAGTCTCAAAAGAAAAAAAGGGAGTTTATTCTAAAGTATTGCAATGGGGGGAAAAACACCAGGTATAAGAGCTGCAAGCATGTTAAAGTTTAGGCAGAAAAGGGCTTAGAAATTCAGGCACACAGGCCAGGTGCGGTGGCTCTCACCTGTAATGCCAACACTTTGGGAGGCCGAGGTGGGCAGACCACGAGGTGGGCAGACCAGGAGATCGAGACCATCCTGGCTAACACGGTGAAACCCCGTCTCTACTAAAAATACAAAAAATTAGCCAGGCGTGGTGGCGGCGCCTGTAGTCCCAGCTACTCTGGCAGGAGGATGGTGTGAACCCCGGAGGTGGAGCTTGCAGTGAGCCAAGATCACGCCACTGCACTCCAGCCTGGGCGACAGAGCAAGACTCCGTCTCAAACAAAACAAAAAAAATTCAAGCACATAATGGGGCACAGTACAGTGTCTCCTGGGAGGATGATCATTGAGTATTTCTGTGAGGAGAATGGGCCTGTGAGGGTATCTAAAGTGATAAAGTGTCCCGACTTGACACTTGACCCGGAGATGTCTATGTTCTGTCAGCCTGACCTCTCCGAGTTTATTGCCTTGAAAAGATTTATTCACTTAGTTCAGTTTCAGTTTTTCGTTAACTTTAAAATGTTTTATTCATAGAGCTTGAAAGATTTAAAAAAATTATTTCCAAAGAGACAAGAAAGAGGTGGATTTCAGTGGGAGAAAAATCTATTCATATTCCATTTGTTAAAAATTCTTGTTGCTGGTCGCGGTGGCTCAAGCCTGTAATCCCAGCACTTTGGGAGGCCAAGACGGGCGGATCACGAGGTCAGGAGATCGAGACCATCCTGGTGAACACGGTGAAACCCCGTCTCTACTCAAACTACAAAAAATTAGCCGGGCGAGGTGGCGAGTGCCTGTAGTCCCAGCTACTGGGGAGGCTGAGGCAGGAGAATGGTGTGAACCCAGGAGGTGGAGCTTGCAGTGAGCCGAGATCACGCCACTGCACTCCAGCCTGGGCGACAGAGAGACACTCCGTCTCAAAAAAAAAAAAAATTCTTGTTAACCTTTTTCTTCCCGAGTGAGTGTAGTAAGTTTCTCAAGTCTGTTCTTTTTTGAGGGAGATTTGAAAGGGAATTCTAGGGCTTTGCTTTGGGAATGTGTATTAGTTTGTTTTCATGCTGCTGATAAAGACATACCTGAGACTGGGCAATTTATAAGAGAAAGAGATTTAAAGGACTTACTGTTCCACATGGCTGGGGAAGCCTCACAATCATGTGGAAGGCAAGGAGGAGCAAGTCACATCTTACACGTGGATGGCGACAGGCAGAGAGCGAGCGAGCTTGTGCAGGGAAACTCCAGTTTTTAAAACCATCAGATCTCATGAAACTTTCGCTATCACAAGAACTGCATGGGAAAGACCTGCCCCCATGATTAAGTTACCTCCCACCAGGTTCCTCCCACATGTGGGAATGGTGGGAGTTACAATTCAAGATGAGATTTGAGTGGGACATGGCCAAACTGTATCAAAATGTTACCAGGGAAAAACATGAAAAATCTCTTTTCCATTATGGCTGCAGAAAAATGATTACGTTTTCACAAGCAAGTGTTGTAGATAAATTGGTGAATTACAAATATTTATCAAAACATCAGTACCTGCCTCCTTTTTGCAGGGTGGAGAATTTATAACAGTGGATAACCCTGTTCTGTATCTTGTTATCTGGAAGTTGGAGTTTAATGCTAAGTTTTATGGGATAGGACTTGGCAACTCCTGGAGATGATTTGTTGTCATGGAAATAATAAATAAATGACATATTTATTGTATGATAGGGATAGATACTTTGGCGTTTCCAGTTGAGGTATTAAATGTAAGTGCCTCACAATTTCCTCCCCTCCTATAAACATGAACACTGAGTTTGAGTTATTTTTCTGGATTCTTCAAATATTATTTTTTGAAAAATTAAACCAACCAAATAACCTTGACTGAGAAACAGAAGCTTGAGCTCAGTGACTGCCAGCGAAGGCCAATCTGAAGCCTGCAAAAAGAAGATCATGGAAGGCCTACTCAGTTCTTCCTTGGGAGCCTGCCTTTACAGATGTCCCAGCCTGCTCACCCCAGCCATGAAAGGAGCTCGTTATATTGAGAGAAGCTACAGAGTTCTGGAAATCTGGTGTTCACAGGTGGATGTGGTTGGGCCTGGATGGAAAGGATGGGATCCCCTTTTTAAGGGTGTAATTTTCATTGTCCTGGCATTCTTTCTAGACATTATTCAATAAAGCAGGGGTCTCCAACCCCTGGGCCATGGACCAGTACCAGTCGGTGGCCTGTTAGGATCCAGGCCATGCAGCAGGAGGTGAGCAGCAGGTGAGCAAACATTACCACCTGAGCTGCTTCCCCTGTCAGATCAGTGGTGGCATTAGAGTCTCAGAGGAGCATGAACCCTATTGTGAGCTGTGCATGGGAGGGATCTGGGTTGTGTGCTCCTTATGAGAATCTAATGCCTGATGATCTGAGGTAGAACAGTGTGGTCCTGAAACTATCCCCACCATCTGTGGAAAAACTGTCTTCTATGAAACTGGTCCCTGATGCCAGAAAGGTGGTGAACTGCTGCAATAAAGTAAATTCAGAATTATATGAGAAGGGAGTTTGTTCTGAAGTATCGCAGTGAGGAAAAACCACGTGTAACAGCGGCAAGCATGTTAAAGATTAGGCAAAAAAGGGCTTTCTTAGGAAGGAGCAAACTAGATTAGAAAAAAAGCGGAAAAGAAGAGGGCCAGATGGATTCTAGATCAGAGAACATTTCACCCTGAGGTCAGCCTGTCAGCCTGTTCACAGGAGAGGAATAAAACAGGGTTGTATGTTGACTCAGACTGAGGGTGTATCAGAGTTCAGGGGCCTGAGGGAAGGAGGGAAACTTAAGTAAAATTTGGTTAACAAGTATTTTGTTCTGACCACTGAAGACAAATTTAGTCAGCTAATTAGTTAAGAGGAAAAAAAAAAATTGTCTGTTTCTGGCTTTATTATACGTAAAGGAAGCATCATCTAAGTCATAATGAGAAGGTGTTTGTTTTCACTAAGCTGTTCCTGGAGAACACAAAGAA